CTTCCTTGATTCCCATTCCTATGATTCCCAAGATTCCCATGATTTGCTGAAGATTTCCATGATTTACAGAAGATTCCTCATGATTCCGAAGAGATTTCTATGGGATTCCTACGATTTTCGGATGATTCCTGCGATTCCCACGAGATTCCCGTGATTCAGAAGTGATTCCCGCGATTTCCATGATTCCCGAAAGATTACTGAGATTCCCATGATTCCCGGACGATTTCCGGATGATTCCCGGACACGATGTACACATGATTCTCCACTGCAAGAAAAAGTGTGGATAGTACAACAAAAGTACAACAAAAACTGTACAATAAAAGTACAACAGGGATTGTAGAAAGTACAACGAGAATTGTACAAACCACAACCAGCCCTGGACTTCCCAGCACTCGTCATGCCGGTTCCGTTGTACTTTGTACAACAATTGTTGTACTTGAAAAGTACACTAAATTCCTGATAAAAAATTTGCCAGAAATTTGTGTACTTTTGTTGTGGTTATTTTCTGCAGTGTCCGAGTGGTGGACCCCTCGCTCTCAGACCTATGTGGCACTCTCAGACCTATGTGGACTTTTTTTCTCCCTTGCTTATAGCGTTTGGAGCAAACGTATGTTCTATTTTCTCCTTAACTATGCACAATTTTGATCGTTATTAAGATAAAATTGTCAATAGATCATGGAGGAATTGAAAAGTACACTGCAAATGACAAAAAGTCCGGCTTAATGGACTAAATACATTATACAATGAACAAAATAGTGCATAGCTAAAGAGAAAATAGTACATATTAAGTTTGCACAGAAACCTTTATGGCACGCGATAAAAAGGCAATACGAGTCTGAGAGTATAGGTCAAAAGTTTTTCGGCCTCACTCGGCCTCACTTCCCTACTGTGCCCGTTTCCTCGTTCTGGCCAGATCAAAATTTTGGCAAAATACGAGGCGGCATGTTCTCGTCAGAGGTCTGCAATGGACAGTTCTGGCTCGAACTGATAGCTTCCGCGGCCAAAGCCACTTGAAACCAAACCGAACTGTTGGCTTCATAGCCATTGGATCCACAAGAACTGTTGACCACCGCCATAATTTTTTTAAGGGATTTTTTTGCTGTGGCAGCCGCTTGATGTTCGGCCGTCTGTACGGAACAAGCGCTTGCTTTTTGCGCGGTTACAAACAGTCATTTACACCGAAAAAAATGATTGCTTCTGCCGGGATTCGAAGCCGCTCTGCCAAGTCGACTTGTGAAGCTCAGCGACGGAATCGAGTCATGCCATCTCTCTCGCACCATAGGGAGCGCTGGAACTGGGTGGACTGTCCATTGTAGACCTCTGGTTCTCGTACCGCAGGTTTGGCCCGCCTGATACGAGGTTGCATGTTCTCGTATCGCAGCGAACGTGTTAATGTCTCGTATCATTAGGTATGTCCTTAGCTCGCCACACCGAAAGTCTTACCGAAGGGCAGGGTTATTAGGGACATTTTTTTTCAGGTTTTAGCTGAAAACCCCACAGTACGCTCTTCCGTTTGAGCCGGCGATTTTACTATGGCTTCCTTGATTCTTTAGCTCCATTTTGATCAAAGTGCGTGAGCCGCCCACATATTTCGCCACTTCCCCGCATTTTCGGGAAATAATGGTACCGTCAACACTCTACCAAAAATGTCCTGTAAATGCCGTTAATTTATTACCAGTTTTTCACTGTAGGTCAATTCACAGCGTTTGCTGTGAACTAGTTCACGGCGTTCACTGTGATCTCCGTTACAGTGTTCACTGTGATCTGGTCCCCAGTAAACACTGTGAGTTTGAGGTCGCTGAGCACCGAAGTACTGCAAATCAGGCTCCAATTCACGGCCTTTACTGTGCACGGCAAAAACGGTACCTGGTTTTCCCAGGAGCCCTATGGCGAAGACATAGGCGATTTCCAGGGGGTTCCTGGGAAAACCAGGAACCGTTTTTACCGTGTGGCCAGATCACAGTGAACACTGTAACCGAGATCACAGTAAACGCCGTGAACTAGTTCACAGCAAACGCCGTGAGTTGCATAACAGCAAACATTGGTAATAAATTAACGGCGTTGACAGGACATTTTTTGTAGAGTGAACGGGGGTAACTTGAGCCTGTGTGCCCTGTAGACCCAGTCAATCAATGCCATATTTTGGCGAGACATTTGTTTCTCGCCAAAAATTGGTGAGACTTTTGTTTCTCGCCAAAAAACTGGTGAGACTTTTGTTTCTCGCCGCAGAATGGCGAGACTTTTTTGTCTCACCAAATTTTGGCCATCAGTCTCGCCATTCAATTTTCAGTGGGCCTGTGCAACCCCTTCAGTGCTTAAGTGTGTAAAATCCGAGATAAACATGGCGACCGGAAACGTGAAATTTGTTGTGCTTCGACTCAAATGAGTCTCCCCTTGACAACCGTGCAAGCGGAGTTGCAATCGAACAAACCCACACTGTGAAAAATTCCGTACTTTTGTACGGCAAATGTACTGACGAAAATGGTACCGAAGTACGGAACGTCCGTACATGTCCCATAAGAACTCATGTAATGGGGTACGGAAAAAAGTACAGAAGTTCCGTAGTAGGACAGGTACGGACGGTCAAGGCCAATTATTGACCAGACATGTTCCCTACTTTTTCCGTACTTTTTTCTCGCAGTGCACCCCTTTCCACAGTCACCCCCACACCCTCCGAGGGTTGATTTTCAAACATGTCTAAATCCAACTGCATACGATCCAGTAACCTCCCCTGTACACGCTGCAAGTTTTCTTTTTCGAATCCGCCCACCCCCGGCTGTACCAACCCCCCTGCAGGACCTGCCTCTTTTTTAACCATGTGCCGTTTCAGTCGCAAAGGGGTTGAATTTCGGCGTTGAAATTCATAGGGGGCACACTGGGTGCTTACGAAGCCATTCCAATCAAAAAATCAAGTTTCGGAAGATTTCATCCAGTGTTGTAGGGGTGGCCACCCCCTAGCGCCCCCCGCTCGCCCGGTAGGCGTAGGAACGCCGTTCAAGGGTGGCCTTGGCAAGAGAGACGGCTGAGCCGTCCCTGAAATTCTCGAGTCGATCCGGTGCATCGTTTGCCCTCCAGGACGAAAAAACTGTCGAAACCTGAGAAAACTTCCCCTAAGTTCAACCCTTATGAACTAAGGGCCTGTTCAGTAGACTATAGCAACCATGCGTGCGGACGTACACGAGTGATAGTCACAGTGCTACTGGACCAGAGAAACCGGAGTAACCAGAGAAAACATTCCCTAAGTTCAACCCTAATGAACGCCGTACTGATTTGGGGTAGCGTCCAAACTTCAAGCGTGACATCTTGCTTGACACAATCCTTCTCTGCAAGCCCCCTAAATTTCAGCCAGCTGCGGCAACGCTCGCGCCGTCGAGAACGGCGCACAGCGAGTGATGCACTCTTGTTCGTCGCCTCGACAGGGCCTTGCTCCGATGAGGTAGGCAACCCATCACACGCGCTGGGCAGGTGTGTCAATACAATCGACGCGTGCTAGTGCGCCAGATTGGCGCTTTTCACCGGGGCAGGAGGTGGCTACGGCCTGAGGAGAGCGTGAAGCGATGCTCGCGCCGTCAGTGCAGAGGTTGCGCACTTGTTCGAGATTATGAAAACTAGACTGTGTTTTTCTCAACGCTTTGCACCGATGGAAAGGGCTTGAAATTCAGGGTGCCTTAGGCTAATTGCTCTTTTCGAAACTCCCCCCTTACATAAATATTAAGGTGCAGTAAAAACACAAAAATCATAAAATTGAGGAAAAAAACTCGAATGCACCATGTTGATGTTTATGATTCCGCCCTTGTCTTCGGTTGAATTGGAAGTATCTGGCAGTCTACTAGGCCTAATGCACCCCAAATTTTGTGCTCTTTTGCAAAGCGTTTTGCAATCAACGGTCTAGATCTTACAATCGAAGCAAAATAAGTAACCCCTGCACCTCACTCGCGCATGGCTTCACGCGCTTCCTAGGCCGTTGCCGCCCCCTGACCGGGGCGTGTCCAGTAGCACTGTGAATATCACTCGTGTACGTCCGCACGCACGCATGGTTGCTATTCTACTGAACAGGCCTTAAGTCCATTAGGGTTCATTAGGCCTCTCGCTTTGGCTGAGCGAGAGTTCAGCCCTTTACTCCATAGTTGGGTTAAAAATCTTTTTCTGTCTGTGTGCGTGCACGAGGGGTATGTTGGGTACACAGCAAATGTCTTACGGTGCAAGGCTGCACAATATGGTGGCGATTTTCTCCATAATACCAACGAAATTCGTCAAAATCTATAAGGTACAGTGAATTCTCAATGGCATGTTACGAAGTCAGCTGCACCACCATAATATGGAACATTTTCACCATATGGAGAATCTTCACTGTAAAACATTTAGAGTGTAAGAAAAGTGAGGTCTGCGAGGCGGGCTCTACGATGTGGATGACCCTAAAGCCTCTCGGCGATGACTCCGCCAGGCAACGAAAGCGCGTATCAAGGAGCCTCCAGTCACGACTTCTCGTGGCCAAGATCTTCTAAATTTGTTACGTACACTGGAAGTAGAGCGCCCGCCCAATTACCACTATTTTAACTGGCAGGTTCAGAATCAACTATGAAAAGTCATAATAATTTTGAATTATAAGAAACAAATACTTGCATTTGGTAAACAATCTCAGATTTCATTAACATGTTTACCAGTTTTAAAAAAGTTTATGAAATGTACCAATAATGTCATTTACGTGTCAGTGATGTTTTGGTAAATACAAGAAATTTTCTTAAACTTTACAAGGTTTTATGAGTTTTCATATCCTTTCATAAGTTTATTAAAATTAAGACGGTATTCTGTGTGAAGCACGGATGTCTATTTGCAATTGCAAGTCGGCTACTTTGTATGCACTCACTAACACTTAAGTGTGAGCGAGTGCGTAACCACTTCAAATTGTAGTGAGTTGGAGAGTTGCAAGCAATGTTACTAATTTCTGACCATCTTAGTTGGGCTGGGTGTGACGGGATGAGTTTAAGTCGCCGATGTGATTCACTGCTTGAGTAAATATTTTATTCCAATAGAGACTGCCGCTCTGTGCCGGGAGCGTGCTGCAGATGCACAGGTGACCAGCAGTCATCTCTCGGCCAAAACGGAAGTCGTCGTAGGGTCTTCCAAGTTACGCGCCCCGCGCCAGGTCGGCGTTCAGCTGGCGGACCATTGGACCGTAGAGGCCCTCCGAGTCGACCGGCACGAAAGGACTCACATTGTTGTACTTCTCGAGAACCTGGTAGGACGCCCGGGCAGACGGGGCCAGGGCAAGCCAGGTGTCGAGGACGTCCTGCAAGAAAAAGTAGCAATCTAGTTCATACTCTCATTCCAGGAGCGTGACATTACGTTGAAGCAAGCGCCTCACTTCCACGCTCGTTTCAATGTGAATTAGCTAATTCATAGCTGATTCACACTGTAAAAAATGCCTTTAAATTCTCGTAGCCCGACACGAAAGTGTGTTTAAAGTGCCACGGGCTTTGGAAAGGTCACTTTAAAAGACACGATACTGAATTCATAGAGCCAATGGCTTGTAAAATACTAAGTTGAAATGTGAAATTTACCACTTGGCTAACAAAACGCTACTACCCTTAGCCACGACGGTCATAGGTGTGGCACTGAAAAGGTATTTTACCTAGACCACAGTTATGAAACTTAAAGTCGTGGCTAAGGGAAGGATACTTTGCTACGCCACACCTGTGGTGGCCGCATTAGCCCTTGCGAGTCCATAATGAAGCTGCGTTGAGCGCTTTGCCCAGCAGTGGTGCGGTAGCCGAGGGGCAGGACACAAGACATCCAAGTTGAACTCTGGCGTTCTATGCTGACCTCGTGCCGATTTTTTCGACCCGAGACGGCTTCTCTTCGCCACGACTTGAAAGTTGACAATATGGGTTCCGCGAGCATTCTTTCCATCACCACGAGACAAATTGACATTCGGTGTAACACTGTTAAAAATCCACTGTAATATTACAACACAATGACCTACAGTAATGCTGTTAAATAACAACAGTATTGTTTTGTGTCTGAACGGGAAACCCATCCAGAAACAACGCTTTCGTTTCAAAACAACTTCCTTGTCAAGTAACAATAATATATTTGCAATTGTGCTCCCCCCCCCCTCTGGATCCGCGCTTGCGGCAGGGTTCCGAACAGGCGAGGGGTGGCGGCATTGATTTACACGTTTCGCCGAGCGTTTCAGTCTCGCTCTTTCTCACCTCTGGGACGGGCACAGTGCCTCTGCCTGGAGTGTAGAAGTTGCATGGCACTGTAGTTGCGGCTATGTTGACGCTTTCCGGGGTAGTTCGGTTGTACCGCCTCAAATTCTCAGCCGGGCCGTAGTCGAAATACGCCATGTACTTTACTGCGACGAGCAACGACAAAATGAGCCGTGAGTGTGATATGGGAGGTTGCCAAAATTGTGGGTCCTTTTGTGTCTTTGGGCCACAGTTTCCTTATTTTTCGACGTATCGACCTGCGGTTTGATTCCTATGACTCGACTTCATCTCCCCTACTATCCCACACACTAACCGAGCATGCAGTTCAAGCATTTCCCTGTCAAAACAGGCTAAAACTGGGCAAAATGTAACTTCCGTGCTGTCCATTGTCCAAAAAGTCCGTGTTTCAAGGCGAAAATCTCCTGAACTATTTGTCGGAGAGCAAATCCGCGAACAACCTTTTGTTCCGTTGGCAACCCTGTATGACACCCTTGGATAGCAATTTATTCCAGTGACTCTCACCCCCTGCTTTATTGGATGAAAAAATGTCCACCGTGTACTGGTTTTCAAACATCGTCAGCTTTAGTTTCGCGCCTCAGCGCCGAACCTGTAGCGAGAAAAGTTCGGCTCAGCGACCAGAATGAGCAGCGCGGTTTCCTCTTTCCGGCGCGGTAGGCGGATTTTCGCTGCAGGGCTCCATTCCGGCTGGCTGGACCATCAAAAGGGTTTAAAAACCGGCATGTGTCAGGTTTTTGTGTAACATTCCGTGTCATCAATAGCAAGCGTGTTACTTGGCCTATCGATTTCGGTCCACCTGGCCATTTTGCGCTTTCACGTCTCTTAAACTTTAGGCGAGACACCTGTTCGATTTGGTGAACGGGTTGATCCGTTTTCGCCGTTTGTTTATGATGTAACTTCCGTGCCACACTCTTAAAACCTTACGAAGTATTTTGAGCATACATATAACAAACTAAAATACTTTGTTATACGAAGAAATAGTTCGTAAATTACGAAGTATTTTCTTTGTAAGCTTACGTATGCTCAAAATACTTTGTTATACAAACTACTTTTCTTTGTAAGGCCCTAAATAGTTTGTAAGGTTTTCTCAGTGCATGGTAACTTCCGTGCCATCTCCCCATGTTAAAGTATAGGGGAAAAATCAAAGTGCGAGAAAATACGGGCCCTCCTTCGGAAATGCGTTTAGAATGCCCCCTAGAATACGGGAAAAAATACAAAAAAAAATTTTAGAACGAGATTTTTTTTTCACTTTTTTAGGAGCCAAAAGGACCCACAATTTTGGCAACTTCCCCTAACACTGTTAGAAATTTTGTCGTAAATTAGCGACAAAAACGTCGCTAATTTTGATAGCGACAGAAATCGTTCTGAAACTACTTCGTCGTAACTGAACGACTAAAAAATCATTTTCTACGACAATGTCGTAATCGCGATTACATATTTTGAAATCTAAAATTCCCGAAAAGTTGATGAAAAGTTGCAATTTTGCTCGTTTATTTACGATTTGTGTCGTTCATTTACGATTCATTACACAAATTAACGAAAAGGTTCGTAAATGTACGACCAAAGTCATAACTGCACAACTTATTCCATAGATGAATTACGATCGTTCGTAAACCTACGATTAAGTTGTAAATTTACGACTTAATTCGTTTCAAAACGAAACGTCTCGCTATCAAAATTAGCGACAAATATGTCGTAAATTTACGACTCAAGTCTTTATTTTTACGATTTGAGTCGTAAAAAAATTTTGTCTTTTAAAAAACGACCTAATTTTTTACAAAATGTCGTAAATTTACGATTATTTTTAACAGTGTAGGAGTACTGCACACTAAATGCTTTCCTATGGACTTTGTCCATAACTATGACCGGTTTTGTGCGTACTGAAGTTATGTACAAATTTGTACATAAATTAGAAACAGTTTTGTAAATACTTAAGCACAAGTTAGAAATACACTATTGGCCGTTATTTACTTCTATTACGGCACAAAAACGGCCATAGCTATGGACAATAAAACTACGTAAACATTTAGTGTGCAGCACCCAAGGATATACAGGGTGAGTTTTCTCAATGTGTCAATAATTTGTGGGGAGCTAGGGCACCCCGAGGGGATCATTTTTCGCCAATGAACTAGTGGGCGCAAACGTCTCGGTACGGAGATAATTGGCGTTTTGTAATTGGCTTTCCCGCCGCCGAGCTAGGCAGACCATAGCGCCTGCCCGCGTCGCGGGCTGCCTACCTTACCGGCGCGCCGCAGCCAGAGCGCACCGAAGCCGAAGCGCTCGGCCGAGCGCCGCCGCGCCGGGAGAGCGCGCTGGTGTCAGGGCGCGCATCCGCGCCGCCCGCCGTGCCGCACGCCAGGTGCATGTCTACAAGCTCCTCGTTCGCAAACCCCCATGTTGTCATTACGTTTTGTGCTGAACCAACTCGTGCTGCACTGCCTGGTTCGGTCAGCGCCTCAGGGGTGTTTTCTGCTGTCAGCGAAGACAGCGTCAGCATCAGTCAACACGGCGCGCTCTAGCGGCGAGGCGTGGAAGCGCGCCTGGCACCAGCCAGCGCGCTCTCCCGGCACGGCGGCGCTCGGCCGAGCGCTTCGGCTTCGGTGCGCTCTGGCTGCGGCGCGCCGGTAAGGTAGGCAGCCCGCGACGCGGGCAGGCGCTATGGTCTGCCTAGCTCGGCGGCGGGAAAGCCAATTACAAAACGCCAATTATCTCCGTACCGAGACGTTTGCGCCCACTAGTTCATTGGCGAAAAATGATCCCCTCGGGGTGCCCTAGCTCCCCACAAATTATTGACACATTGAGAAAACTCACCCTGTACAGTGCACACAGGTAAACTGGAACACTTACTCTTGCCAGTTTGTTGAAGATAATAGTTCAGGCTGGTCACCGATATGCTGTCCAGTAAGTTCGCGAAAGCATAGGGAAAGAATGGCTGTAATAATAAATTCATTTTAACTGTAGCGCCAAAGGGAGAACGTTTTTTGGCTGAGCGATAGCGAAGCCCGTTACTCAGGTGGGGTTGAAAAGTTTTGTCTGTCTGTCTGTGTGTGTGTCTGTCTGTCTGTCAGCACTACTCCTCCTGAACGGCTCGGCCGATCTGGCTGAGATTTTGCACACTTTTTAGGTATGTCCTTGGCTCGGCACACGCGAAAATTTTACTATCCTAGCTCAACTGGTTCAGTTTTTATAGCCGAAAAACACATAAAAAACGGCGGGAAAAAAAGAGATTTCTGCAGATAGACCACTTCTGTCTTGGAGAAAGGGGGGTCTGGGGGGCGGAGCCCCCCAGCCTCGACTCGACAAGTTAAAAAGTGACAAGGGTCAAGATCGTGTTATCTGTAGATAAAACAACTCTATTTACAATGTAGGGGGTTTGGGGGGCGGAGCCCCCCAGCATTCAACAAGTTAAAAAATAACCGACAACGGACGAGCCATTGCCTGCCGCAGGCAGGCTAGCGCCGCAGGCCAAGGTAGGTACGCCAGGCGTGGATTGGAGGAACAGGCAGCGAGACATCGCGAAGCCTGTTACGACAAGACGCGGTCTGGCGTAAACCTACCTTGTCACAATAAAGTTGAAAAACTGGACAGAAAGCTGGAGCGTGTACTCCATCAGTCCACAACCTTAGGACCATATGCTTCGAGGGAACACACTATGGGGTGTGCACTCATCGAGGGGTGCTCTTATAGAGCATGCAACTGAGCACGCACCAGGGTGGACGGGCCGTCGAACGTGATTTTTCGAAATTGCAACCGTAGGGTCAGGGCGGGTAAAAACTAGACAGGGGAAGAACTGGACACCCCACATTTTACTTGAAATGCCGTATGTACTGGCCTGACAACTGTCATGTAATGAACCGCTGATGCCATGGAACAACTTTTGATAGTTACTATTCCTGTGCCTCCGGTATTTGAAGTTAAATATGGGGTGACCAGTTCTTCCCCTGTCCAGTTCTTCCCCGCCCTGACCCTAATAGCGCGCAAAGGTTGTTGTACACCGTTAATCCGGCGCAAAGACTAATTAACTTTCATTCAACAACTTACATTGAAAACAATATTTTCAGTCCTGGCGTAATTTACAACGTACTGGTATGTTCCGGTCTCTTCTCACTTGAGGGCACCATGAAGTCATTTTTTATGAGGGTTTGTCATGCCATGAAGTAACTTTTGCCAACTATTACGTTTGCAGTGTCGAAAAATAGCGTTTGACGGCCAACCCTAGCACGCACTCATGGAATGAGCTCACAGGCTCTTGTTTTCGTCAACTCACGTAGTTGATCTCTCTGCTGTTTCCTGCCTGGATCTGGAATATGTAGTAACACGTGATCGGGCTGATTCGGCCACACAAGTTGTACAGCACCGAGTGTATCGTCGGGTTCATGAAGGCAACTTCGTTGTGTAGCACCAGTGCTCCGGCGGCCTGATTGAAAATGGAAGACAAAGAAGCAAAAAAGGCGATATAAATCGGCAATTTTGGCTCGTAATAATTATTAGAAAATTTGTCGTTTTTGTTTTACTTTTATGGGATTAGAACCTGGGTCTTGGGTCAAAATGTCCTTTTCGTCTTCAGCAACTTAAAGCTATAATAAGTCTAAAACTTGAAAGAAAAGTTTTGGTCGTAAGGGAGGGTGGGGATCTATCGTGCCGTCACTCTCGGGAACTTTTTGTCCAAGGGCAACTCTAGAAACTCAAGAGAGTGCACGGCATGCTGCACCAAGGAGTCCACCACAAAGCACGCTTCACCCAAGAGAATGCATGCAACGAGGGGGTGATCACTGAGGTCCAAGACGTACAATGATTTTTTGATTTTTGATTTTTTTTATTATTTGACTGTATCAAATTGATTTTTTTCATCTCTTTTTAGTACAATTGCCTAACTTTAAGGGGCTTTTGCAGTCGTAAGTGTGACAGACGAAGGGACGTGAGTTTTTGACTTACTATGAAACCAAATAATTGCTCATAATAAAGAAATGGCATATCAACGAGCTGTAAACCGAGGAGATACACTACAAGATCAAATGTGTGCTTAGTACACAGCTGTGGGAGCGTACTTGCAAGTACACATCTATAGGTGTATGCTTGGCAAGTACACATCTATAGGTGTATGCTTGGACAAGCACACATCTATAGATGTATGCTTGGACAAGAACATCTCGAGGGGTCCTATTCAAAAGATCTTATCTGGGCGTTCCCCCCAAGACAATCTTATCTTAAACGCAGGTGAATTTCACATAGTTTGATCATTTGGTACAGCTACATATCAATGTAATTTGTGAGTTTGTTCAAGTAAATCTAAAGATGGAAGATCAAAGAAACCAAAAGTGCATTTAGAAATATGTTTTGCTTACCGTTGTATTTATTCTGATTGATCAAAATGAGTGAAATTTGCCAGCGTTTAAGATTGTCTTGGGGGGAACGCCCAGATAAGATCTTTTGAATAGGACCCCTCGATCTATAGATGTATGCTTGGCCAAGCACACAGGTGTAGGAGTATGCCTTTAAATGGGTGGGATTAGAGTGTGCTTGGCCAAGCATACACCTATAGATGTGTACTTGCCAAGCATACACCTGTAGCTGTGTGCTTGCCAAGCACACACCTATAGATGTGTGCTTGTTCAAGCATACAGCTATGGATGTGTGCTTGCAAGTACGCTCCCATAGCTGTGTACTAAGCACACATTTGATCTTGTAGTGTAGGAATACTTTTTAATAAAAGAGATGACTTTTATACCATTTGATTTTTGATTAGTTTTGATTATAAATATGATTTTTTTGGCCTTGTACAATGATATTTCTCAGTGAGCCCCCCCTCGGCTTGCAAGCACACTCTTACCTGAAGCATGCAAGGCAAGCACACTCCAAGGAAGAGCATGCTTGCAAGTACTCTCTTGGGTGATGCGTGCTTTGTGGTTGACATGAAGCCTCGTTGCTCGGACGCAGCACACTTCACCCAAGAGAGTGCTTGCAAGCATGCTCTTCCTTGGAATGAACTTGCTATGCATGCTTCAGATAAGAGTGTGCTTGCAAGCGTGCTTTTTCCGAACTTCCGTACCATTTTCGTCTGTACATTTTCCGTACAAAAGTAGCCTACGGAATATTTTACAGTGATGATATATCATCTGCAGTTGCGAAAAGTCGCCTCGACTCGTTACCGTGAGGCCGTCCCGCAGAACGGCGAGTACGTCGAAGATCAAGGATGACAGGCGTCCGAGGTAGCCGATGGGACCGATCAGATATGTGGCGGCCAGGAACCTCTGGTAAGGGAGAGTGGGGTAATTCCGGACACGGGGTAATTCCGGACACTTCGATTTTCACTGGGTTTGAGTGAAGATAACTCAAAAGCCCGACTAACAGAAGAAGATAATCAGTTTAAAAGGAGAATTCCAAATCGCCAAAGTAGGAGGTCAAGCCGTTTGCCTGTGGTCGCTTCACGAAATTTGAGTACCATCAAAAATAGGCAAAAGCTGCATCTTTCCCTCGTATTTCCATGTACTTATCGTACCTTACCGTCAAGTTCAGTCCCATGATTAAAATTTTATCATATTATATGGTCATTGGACTTTACTTTGGCGTTTCGGGAGTGCTCGTATGGCTCGCCGCTTTCGTACAGTTGAACATCAAAGTTTTTCACTACCTGTGGGGTAAATCCGGACAATAAGGGTTATTTTCTTCAATTTCCCGCATAATGTTAAGGTAGTGGATTCAAAATTGTGGACATGCATCCCCACCGTTAAGAAGGATAAAGAAAGAACGAAAAATAGCATTGCAGCTATGTTTAAGAGCTTTACTCAAGACAGTGTTGTCAATTTAGTGGTTTTGATAGAAATTATTCCTTATAATATGCTTTGAGTAACAATCAAACACTTCAGTTCGCAGCAAATGTCCTTGAACGCCTTCTAAAAGCATGCCTCACATCAAAACAAGCGAAAGTAAGCTCGAGTAGTGTCAAATTTTAAGGTCGTCCGGCATTGCCCCATAGGTCGTCCGGAATTACCCCAGCCTGGGGCAATTCCGGACACGTGCAGGGCTTTTGTTAGGCGCCTATATCTCCCTAACCGTTGCTGAGATTTGGCTTTCATGTATACCATTTTGAAGGTAAAGGTCCATACTTTACTCTCCTGTCATAACATTTGACCCAAGAAGCATATTCAAGCTCAAAGACCAAAAAGAAAAAAAGCGTCCGGAATTACCCCACTCTCCCTTATCGCTGGCCGTAGACGTGATTCATGAAGAGCAGGGCGGTGCCGGCCCGGTCCACGCCGAAGTAGCGCATTCTGGTGTTGTTCGTTTTTCGGTAGACGAACTCTATCTGCGCCGGCAGGTCATAGACGCCCCAGTGGTATTGACTGCAGTGAGTAAAACATATTTCTGAAGTCCACATCCTGCGGATATCACCGAAGTCCAAAGAATGCAGTGGTCACGTTCTTCGGTTAGGAACAAAGGGACGCCAGACTAGCTTGATCCACGACTTTTATGTCGTAGCAGGCTTCGCGATGCTGTGCCGCTGTGTCATTTCTGCCGTTTACACCAACCTTGGCCTACGGCTTCTGCAGGCTCCTTTGCAGGACATCGGCACACGCACATTGACGTGAAAGTCGAAACAACATTCGGGCAGCCGTGGTTACCCAAGGGGGGCTGACTCAACATAGCAGCGCTAACATAGTTGACTGGGTGCCCTTAATAACTCACTTGCACATTTTGCAAATTATTTTTGCAACCAGGAAATATGACACAAATATCGACATAAAATACCCGAAATAGTACCTATAATTTATAATACTTAGTACGCGGTTCAGGAGAGTCAGCTCCCCTTGCGATTACCTGAGTCATCAGCCCTTTTTTTTCTGTTCTATTTCTTTTCCAAACATCGTTCCCTCCTTAACGGGAGCTACTCCAGTCGTTCATAGTAGGGGCCTGCACTTACTAAAAGTCCCAAAATGCGGAGCTTGTGTCACTGAGAAGTGTGTGTCCACGTCCAAATAGACTACCTCGGAAAGTGAACAGCCAAACGTCGTTGCATTCTCGTGCAAGACGGTACACTGAAAACAGAGTCCAAAATGAGTGAGTCAAATGCCAACAACCTATCGCCACACCCAATGCCTGAAAGCCTTATCTTGTTTTCAGAGTAACATTTCAATCTGTAATTACGAGGCATGTTCGCAGTATTTGCCGTAGGCAAACGGCAGGTTGATGTTCACAGTATTTGCTGTATACGAAGCATGTTTGCAATTCACTGCGTACATTGTGGACGGACAGACCAGTACTCGGCAAACTGAAGTGTTCTCACACTCCCACGAGAGTGTGAGTACACTCTTGAGTTTACAGAGTAGCCACGGATTGGCTTACTCACATTCAAACGAATGTTACTCACATTCAAACGAATGTTACTCACATTCAAACGAATGTTACTCACATTCAAACGAATGTTACTCACATTCAAACGAATGTTACTCACATTCAAACGAATGTGAGTCAATGCTCAAACGAACGTGACATTTTGCCACATTTCGTGAACGGGGGGACCTGGGGACCGCTCGGGACCCTCTAATGTTTTTAACTCTTGAGACAAGATTCTCGACCTAGACCATTGAAACCTAACTATGTTAAAGTTTGATCCTTTCTTCACGATTTCATGCAGGTCTCATCCATTTGCCTCGATTATATTGTTTACAGACGGGCCCGAAAGAGTGTCCCAAGTTCCCACTGACCGCACTGCAAATCCAAGTGAGGGACAGGCATGCACTAGATAACGTGAGACAAACTGTCTCACACTTGGATTTGCAGTGGGTAAGTAACTTGGGACAGTGGGTATTTACCCACATTCCCATGCATCTATTGAAGTCAGTGGAACAAATAAATTGTAGTGACAACATCAAGACCAAGAATTCAGGTTTTGAAGATATGTTATGTGATCGATATGGGACTCTTTCCCACTGGTATTTTCCAGTCTTTCCATCATCAGCCCAACATCCGAAGGGGTTGTCAGAAACCGGGTCAGAGAACTCCGAAGAGGCTAGCAGTGCTGGAAGCATGAGAAAATGACTGTCCCAAGTTACCCCGCATTGTAACGATTTTTGATTAACCGAATTCTGGAGCGAAGATGGGAAGACTGAAACTATCACCCGTTTGCGACCGGCATTGTCAATATACGATCTAGCGACCAAGATTTACTACTTGGCCAAATCTGCATTTCACTCCTTATTTGGCATATTTTGTCAAGAACTCTATTATCTTGTATTCCGTTTCTCAAATATAAATTTTGGTTCTTTGCACCTTCTCCTTCTCCCACTTTTCCGAGCGTGTCCTGAGGCCTCTGAAACGAAACCCTGCCGCGGGTTTGACGCTAGGAACCCCCGTCGCTGGATGGCAGCACCAACAAGGGCAGGGTAGACTGTCCCAGGTTAACCCCGGTGTCCCCAAGTAACCCCCAATTGATGGTTCGTTTCAACGTGACGTCACATTCCTGGAACGAGAGTGTAACCTAGGCTGTTTTCCTTGATGTAGATAAAGGAAGCCGCATTGGAAAGGACCCCTGGTCCGACAATCACAACAGAACGATACGAGGCGCACGTTCCGTTTCGAACTCTGAACACTCCAAGGATGTAGCCGTCCGAAGTCGTCACGTTGTAGGCCTCTCCGACGAAGCCGAATTTCGGCGCTTCCTGGTCCTAGAACATGGCATCCAAAGCATTCACAACCACGTTGATGGAATTGTCTGAGAATAGCTCATATATGGACAATGTCCATGGACCTTTTTTGTCCCTAAGGTCGGGAGGCAAAGTGATGTGTCCTACCGAGGGACAAATTTGTGAACAGCTTTATATTGTTTTGTTTGAAAGCCATAGACAATGGGTACATTTGGTAACGCTTAAGAAAGTTTCCACTTTGGTTGCAATATTGTCCCTAGAATTTGTCCATGGGAACTTTTGCGTCCAACAAACGTGGACCAGTTTCATGTTCTTCGCTTGATTTAACATAAATTGGTAATTTATAAGATCGGTTTTGCATTTTGGGTCAAACGTCTCAAGTCTCAAGTGTGACAAATTCATTTTTCGGGCATCTTTTCTTGGTTGCTGCACTCATCGCGAAGATTGTCTCCTCTAATGGGGTACTTCGGAGAAGAGCAGGACCAGAAGTTGAGAAATCAAGATGAACTAAGTATGTGAAATTTGTGAGAATGGCCGTCTGCGTCGTCATTCTATCGCTTCCGCAGAGTTATATATTCTCGTATACAACTCCGGCCTTTGTAAAGGTTTATAGCAGCACATATCAATTTTACCTGCTTACCGGCCTAAGGTATGGAGGTACAGGCAGCACGGCGTTGGCCAGTAATGCCACAATGGCCGAGAGGTTTGTCACGATGTCCGAGGAGAACTGCGTGATGTTGTTCTGCAGCAGCGCGGACTGAAGCAGCGGGTTGAGCAACGCCGTGTAGGGCGCCACGGCACCGAGCAGGGCGCCGGGGATGGGCACCAGTCCGGCAACCCCCTCCACCACTGGGTTGAGGACGCTCACGACCGGGTCCAAGATGCCCCCAAGCGGGTTCACGACAGTTGTGACCGAGTTCACGCCTACAAACAACAGGGTTCACTTACAAACTAGTGTCACTGTTAAAAATAATCGTAAATTTACGACATTTTGTAGAACAAATATGTTTTTTTTAAACGACATTCTTTGATACGACCCAAGTCGTTACGACTTGAGTCGTAAATATACGTCATATTTGTAGCTAATTTTGATAGCGAGACGTTCCGTTTTAAAACGAATGAAGTCGGATATTTGCGACTTAATCGTAAATTTACGAACAATAATAATTTTTTCATGGAATATGTCGTGCAGTTATGACTTCATTCGTACATTTACGACAAATGGTAAATTTGTGCTATGAATCGTAAATGAACGACACAAATCTTAAATAAGCGAGCAAAATTGTAACTTTTTACCAACTTTTCGGGGATTTCAGATTTTCAAGTATGTAATCGCGATTACGACATTGTCGTAGAGAAATGACTTTTTAGTCGTTCAGTTAAGTTTAAGAACGACTTCCGTCGCTATGAAAATTAGTGACTTTTCTGTCGCTAATTTACGACAAAATTTCTGACAGTGTAGGCATTGAAATGGCCACCCACAGGCAGTCGCGTAGTGGTCGGGTCACTATCTGTTATAGCACGCGAGACAGCGGAAACTCTTTGATTTGACCTATTTATGGGGTGTTTTGTGGTTTACAGGTCAATTCCTATTAT